GCCATGCCAGGTGCAGAGTATGCTGGCTGGGTGCTGGCAGGCTTGCACCTGGCACGGGCACCGTAGCCAGACCGTGACCCTTTAAGGGCTTCTGGGCTGGGAGACAAGTTTCCCTGGTGGTGCCCAGAGTGGCCACCAGGGCAAGCTGGGGAGGGCTAGCCTCCCACTAGTTTGAATTAAGTGGCTACACAGCCCTTAATTCGAACTACTTCATTCGAACTAGGCGTTAGTCCTCGTGGAATGAGGTTTACCTAGTTCGAATTAAGCGCTTCACTAGTTCGAATTAAGTTTGAACTAGCGGTTTGTATGTGTAGCGCCTATTAAAGTTAATTCGAACTAATGTCTGTTAGTTCGAATTAACTTTGTAGTGTAGACATACCCTTAGTCTATAAGGTGCCACAGGACTCCTCATTGCTTTTGCAGATTCAGACTAATACTGCTACTCCTCTGATACTTAAAACTTAGTTGTCTCCAATCAAATACTAGAGCCACTTCAGAAGTGCGTTCTGGGCCTGTGTGTGCCTCTTAACTTATGATTTTCAGAATCATCTCATAACTCATCAGTCAAAAGGAGTTATACATGTTTTTGATCTTTTTACATTCAGCTCAATGGGAGACAAATCAAAGGTTTATTATAATTATAAAGACATTCTCTGTAAGAAGGCCATCTGAAATCAGAAAGCAAAACCTTTACAAAGCCACTTTCTAACGCAGACAGTTTCCTTTCTCCTTTCTCTTATGCTAATGCTCAATTGCAAATATATTAAGTGACATCAGTATCAGGAACATATAAGTATATCTGTGTGTATTACATATTTTTGTGTTCACTGCCTTATACAAGGAGAAGGTAATCACTTCCACCTATCTTCCTCCCTCCTTCCACATCCGCACCATGCTTGTTGATAGAGAGTGATAGAAAATGAATCATTGCAAGGCCATGAAATCCTGTACATAGCTCAAATTAACATTTTTACCCATTCACTTTTTGTTATATCATTAGCTAAATATTTTAAGGGTTACTGTAAATTATATTAACTAATAATGTTTTCCATTTATTAATTAGTAGTGTCTATTTTTGGTTTAGTTCTTGTAATGGCTGTTTCTTGGGAGTAATATGCATTGCATTTAATCAGAAAAATGTATAACATGAGTAGGTTTTACTCATAAAAATATATAGGTGGGTTTATATGTGTGTTATGATAGAACTTCCTCATTGAACGTATTTATGGGCTTTTCTCATGAGCATTAACATTTACATCAAACCCTAAGAATGTTTGTTACAGGGTTTCCCATAAAATAAATGAAATTTGACTTCCTTTCTCTTAGGCACCTACCACTCTGACATTTTTTTATCTTATTGTATTTAATAAATATTGCAGTTGATAGTGAACATCCATGCTGTCTTGTAACTAGTTTTGCAATACACTTTGATGTTCACAGATTTGGATTTCAAGGTATTTGATCTTGCTGATCACGCTCTGAACTTTGTACTTCGATTTTTAACTCTTTGCTTTAGGCTTGGTAACTTTATCAAAAATTGCCCCATTTTATTTTTGCCAGAGAAGACTGAACTGGGAGTTGTCTTAATTGAAGTAAATTTCACTCTAGTACTCTTTGATCAAAAGCCTTCACTTGCTTAGTATTGGTAGGGTGAAGCTCACTAGTTGGTACTGTGAGACCCCCTATATTTTAAAAAAAGTGCCAGTGATGATGATTATTTCTGTCAGGCATGTTTTAGGATTTTTATGGTATGTGTGCTTTGCCATTTAGAAAAAGAAAAAAAAAGAAGAAAAATCTTCCTGAATAAATGGGGATTGACTGAGTAGGGGCTCCCACCTCAGTTCATGCTTCTGCTGAGTTTCTTGACTAAGCCTGCCCAGATCCTTCTCTCACTACCCAGGCTGGTGACTTTACAATAATCTCTGCTTTTTAACTAAATACCAAATGCAAAACTGCTTGTTTTGTGTGTGATTTTTACTGTATTGCATCATTACAGCACATAGCAGGGAAGACATTAGTGGTCTTTAATATAAGCTTCTTGGTTTTATTTCTTTAAAAATTGCCCAGTGTACTAAAGACAATGAGAAAAAAATCACTTTGTGATTGGAATTATCTTCATTCACCCGGGGCTAGGGATGTAAGTGACTAGTTGACTATCTGATCAGCATAACCTTATCGGATAGTCGAGTAGTGACTCGACTAGTTGCTTCCTCCCCTTATGCATCTATCAGAGAGAGGTAGTGGGGGGGGCCAGGATCTGGTGCTGGGGGGGGGGAACCCAGCTTAACAGTCGATTCCCCCCATCATTGTTTCCCCTGCCCCCACAGCAGCAAGGTGCGGGAACAGGGAGCCAGTACTGGGGGGAGCTGGCTTAAAAGCTGGTTCCTCCCAGCACTGACTCTGGGGTGCCACATGCCCCCTCTCCTCGCTGCCTCTGATAGAGGCATTGGGGTGGGAGGTGGCTAGGGGAGGCTGCTGCGAAGCAGCCCCTGTCCACAGTGATTCCAGCAGGTAACAGTCCCCCTCCCCACCATAGACGGGGGCTGCTGCCACTAAGCAGCCCCTGTTCATGGCGGCCAGGGCTGCTGAACGCAAAAGGGGCTGTTGGACTCCGTGCCAGCTGGGACCGAGCCATCTCGGCTTGCGCTGGTCTGTGACACTGCACCTCTGCATTTTAAATAGAGGAAGAACCCAGCAGCTCTTACTACATTTAACGTGAAGAGCCGCAGCATGGGTGGCTCCTGGACTGAGCAGTCCTGACTTGAGCAGCCCTGGCTCGAGCTGGCTCTGCAGAGCAGTCCTACTGACTAATCATATGGTCAATACAAATTGAATCAATTCTACGATTAGCTAGCTATCCGCAATTTAACATCCTTACATGGCATGAAATGCTGGCCCAACTAAAGTCAGTGGGAATTTTGCCCCTGCAGTCTGTGAGGATCTCAGTGACAAGTGCCAGGATTTCACCTCACAGCTACCTAAGATCAAAAGCTCTAGGCATTGTCTCTTTCACAAACAGAAGTTGGTCCAGTAAAATAATATCTTACCCCCTTAGTCTCTAATAATTCTGGGACCAACACAACTACAGTAACACTGCAAACAATATAATTGCTTGTCTATTTGGTTAGTAAATAGCAAAAGCCAGATCCTAATCATATTTGCCACAATGTAAAACTGAAGTAATGTCAGTAATGTCACTGGAATTTCACTGGTGTAAACCAAAATAAGAGCAGAACTTGGAGCCAGCTTTTTGGCTAATGGGAAAAAAAATCACCCAGTAAGACTATCCAGGAAGGCAAGGTCAACTGGCTAATGCCATGGTCTTTGAATTCAACCATACTTCTCTGACATAAGCTTTCTTCCATCAATTTCCACTGAGGGTTTTCTCAAACATTCACAGTGAATAAAGGTTAACAATATTTTAACAGCAACTTCCAGACATTTAAATGTCCGATTCAAAGATCAATTAATGTAATCTCTAATAATGACATACCAAGAAGTTTAAATACATTTAAAATGTAAAAGTATTCCCGCAGTTTGAATTGGTTGAGTTTCTTTTAGGGAACATATCCATGGCTATTTTTAGTCTTTACCTCTATGTGGAATTAGAAGAAAGATATTTGTTGAATAATTTTGAGAGTTATAAATTAGTTCTCTTTGAAAAAGACCACCTGGTTTGTGTTTTTCTTCACAGGTCAGATGATGATGCAGATAACCGGAGTTCCAGGGTGACCCAACTTTGCACTTACTTTCAGCAGAAATATAAGCACCTCTGCCGCCTGGAGCGGGCGGAATCTCGTCAAAAGAAATGCCGGCATACGCTCCGGAAAGCTTTGCTACATGCGGCCAGCAGAGAGCCGGAATGTGCGGGGCAACTCATACAGGAACTCCGAAGAGCTACATGCACTTGGACCAGGTTAGAACCCAAGCACTCCAACATGCCTGCAATAGTAGGCAAGGCTGGAGGAGAATCAGCAGTGAAACCAGTAGGTTAAATTGAAATGTTGCATTTTCAATCCAATATCCATATGGATCCTGCACTTAGATGACATAAGAATCCTGACGTAAAAAGGCCTAGCAACAGAGTACAGTAAATTAAAGCATGGTTTATTTCTGAAAAGGTTAGGCATTTTTTAGCTGTGCAGTGCAGAAGATGGATCATTTGTTCAGCAATACACGCCCATGATTTGAATTACATGGCATAAAATCATGGCCCCACTGAAGTCAACGGCAAAATTCTAACTGACTTCATTGAGGTGAGGATTTCACCCAGAATATTTTAGGTTCTAAGTTGTTACTTGTTCCTTCATTTTACAATGATATCCCACTCTCGTGTCTTATGGTTTTAGTTAAATGCTTTACAGAAATATACAGCCTGTTCTGCAGAGTCCCTCGGCAAGTCACATTTTTTAAAAAATGTCTGTGTTCTCTTGACCTCTTTCAGGCATATCTTCAGAAACTCCTATAGCTTTTTATTAGATTTGACTCAATCTAACAGTAAACGATATTGAACAGTGAAACAAATATCCTCTGAAGGCTACCTTCTGTGGGAATTCCTGTTAGAAAATATCAACATCCCTCCTGTTCTTGCCATGCATGGCGTTGCTTTGTATAGAATACTTGTGCAAGCCCTAGTGTTGAGTCTTGGGTACCAGCAGCTTTCCTCTGCTGCTTCTCTCCTCACTCACCAAGAGGTGGCTCTGGAGGACTATGAAGAGAAATATGGGGAGAGGGGCGGCGGCAGTAGGCTGACAACAGACTTTACCCTGTTCACAGAGGGCACCCTGTTTGGGTATGGTCTTTGCTTTTGTGGGGGTAAAGAAGGACTAAGGGCTCTGTTTTATGGTGGGGGATACATTGAGGATAGAAGAAAAGGCTCCCATCTTATAAGGACAGCTCAGAATTGCAGTTTAACTGTATGGTTTCTAATGAACTTTTAAAAGTAAATCCATAAATAAATGTCTTCAGTCTTAAACTGTGTGAATTCTGGCCCATGCCAGAATTCCCAGGCTAATTTAGTGCAACGTGGTCAGATTATGTGGTAACCTGAGTAAAGTCTACCCTGTAGCACATAGATTACTTGTGCAATTAGAAGTGAATGATAAATTAAACTGAAGATCGTCTGACAAAGTAAGAGAGCTCTGCAGTCACTCCTTCAGTCTCAAAGTGTAGGAACTGCAATGATTTTATGACTCCAGATACTTCATGCTGGCTTTAGGGGATGATAATATTTCCTAGAAATTATGTTTCTGTCTTGTGATCAAGCATAAAAGAGCTGATGAAGCTTTAAGTGTAATAGCTGGAATGTCTGCAAAGAGCCTTCTTTCAGCGTTGAGAATAATGTGCATAGGAGGTGAAATTCACTTCATGCAAAGGGCTAGTCCTGTTTTGAGGGCTTACACAGGTCTTCTGCATTGCATAGGCCTTGTGCCAGCCTTCTGTATGTCCGGTGAATTTCATTTACAGTGTGAGTACAACTCTGGGTTCTAGCATTTAATATTTACATTGCAATCCTGGGCTACATCTACACTGGCATCCCTTCCAGAAAAGGGATGCTAATGTAGCACGTTGGAGTAGGCAAATCCGCGGGGGATTTAAATATCCCCCGCGGCATTTGCATTAACATGGCTGCCGCTTTTTTCCGGCTTTTCCCCAAGCCGGAGAAAAGCGCCAGTCTAGACGTTATTCTCCGGAAAATAAAGCTTTTTCCGGAGGATTTCTTATTCCTACTTTCAAGTATTTAAATCTCCCGCGGATTTGCCTATTCCAACGTGCTACATTAGCATCCCTTTTTCGGAAAGGGGTGCCAATGTAGACACAGCCCTGGAGTCTCTGATCAGGTCCTGGCTCTGTTAGTCAGATGCTGTAAACAAATAACAGTTGTGAGGAAGTCTTGCAAGAGCCTCATCTTGTAATGCTCTTACGCCAGTGTCACCCTAGCCCCTTATTTATATCTGTTCTGTAGCTGGAAACCATACACGTGTATCCAGACTGTTGTGGTTCACTTTGTCACATTTAGTGTTATAGTTATGCCATGATATCTGCTGGTGGTAGATTTCTTATTTTAAACTCCATACTGTAATGTGTTTTTATTTCAGCACAAGCCAAGCCACGCAGAGAGATGCAGACCCAACAACATGTAGTGGATCTGTGAAGGGTGAAAAGTGCACTAACAAGGCCCTTCCATTCACCAGGCATTGTTTTCAACGTATCCTCTTAACTACCTTGCGTGCTCATTGCAGAAGGAAACATTTTTGGTCAAGTTTCATTCTTAGAGTGATACATCATTTTGTATCAGAAATAGTTATTTGCAAATAATGTCTCCTGAACCATTTTGGTCGTGTGTCTGTCTCCTTATAGGTATTTATGGTAGTGGAAATGTGCACTGTTCACAGTTAACAGAGCAGACCCATTTGTCAAGTGACCCGTATCTGTTCTAGCATACTGTTACATTCCTACTCACCGTAGCTTGGTGCCTGCCAGCAACTTTACAGATGATCTTATTCTTTGATGGGAAGGTGTATCCTCTCCTGTTCTCCTGCAGTTGATGGTAGCTTTCCATAGAATATCTGGATATTCTTGCATGATTCAGTTCTGTAGGAAGAAACTAGGAATACTGTGGAGTACAGTGGTAGCCTAGAGTGAATGAATAGTGAAGGTTCTAATATCCTGCATTGCTAATCAGAATGGCGCAGAGGAAAGAAAGAGAATTCCCTAAAACACAACTCTGGGTGAGGAAGAAACTCTACATGAATGCATGGGATTTCAGGAAACCCTTAAAGAAATGTGATCTGGAGAGGTATAACATTCTCCTCAAAAAGGGGAAAAAACCTTGTGGGATTCAAAACCACCTTCCATATCTGAACCCGAAGCTAGACAGGCTGATTAGTATTATGATTTTTTATGATTATTTTAAGTACTCTATTTCTTACCTGGAAAGACCCATGTGCATCTTCTCAGTTTTCTTCCTTTCCTTCCTCCCCATAAAACTATAGTTGTGATTTCACAGCCTACTTAGGAATTGAAGAAGTGTTGCAAAATGATGAGAATGGGGAATGAAGACAAAGGGTAGAAAAGATCTAAACGGATGGGACAAAAGCAAAGCATCTTAAAATGTTGGATATAAGAAATGGAGTAACCGTATAAAAGCTTTAAAAACCAGTCCCTCTATTCCTTTGACAGGGAAAACCAACATCCCTCCTGTTCTTGTCATGCATGGAGTTGCTTTGTATAGAATACTTGTACGCAGTATTAATTAATATACATTTTGAAGATACATTGTCAGTTGAAAGCAAAAACCATTATCAGTGGCCACTGACAATCTTATCCAACATGAGCGCCAAGATCCAGTGGAAAGGCACATTGGGCTGATTGAGGTTCAGCTTCCAGATCTCCATCACTCAATCCATCCCATTGGCCTTCTGTTTGACTTTGAGCAAATCACGTTGGTTCTCTATGCCTTATCTTCTCTGCCTGGCAAATGAGGGTGGCAGTACGTTATTTGAGACTTGTGCATGATGAGCTATTTGGCTCTTATAACTAATTGTCTGCAGACAACGGGAAGTTACATTTCATGCTGTATCTGTATCTGCAGGCCACGCAAAACTCCTCCTTTCAAATTTCATGTAATAAGGCAGGTATGGTTGGGAAGTAGATGGTGCATTTTGGCTCCGCAGAGACACAGTGCAGCTCCGCAGGACATGTTGCTTGTTCCTGCAATGGCTGCAAAATACAATGATGATTTCTCATTTTCTATCTTAAAAATACAGATCTCTGTGAACAAGAACCTCTAAATGTGGGGAAGTTACAAGGCTTAGATACATGAGACCAGATTTTCAAAACAGCTCTGCACCCAAAGGATCTATGCATGTGTATGTAAATATATTAAAAATGCAACTCCTCCCTCTCCTCCCACAGAGATAATATTTTGCAATGTATCCAGTTCAAAGAATAGAGAATGTTTTGATTTTGCTTTTCTCCTTCCTTCACACATCATTTCTGTCCCTCCCGCTCAATGAAAATAGTTGTTTTCCACCTTATCCTTCCTTAGGTTTTCTCTTTATTAATGTTAATAATTTTTTTTTAATTTGAGCTAGTTAGTTAAATTCTGGAATAGGCTTCAAAGGAAGGTTGTAGAATCCCCATCACGGGAAGTTTTTAAGAACTGGTGAGAGAGATAACTGGTCAGAGTTTATTTGGTTCTGCCTCGTCCATAGAGCTTGTCTTGTTGGCCTCTCATGATCCCTTCCAGCCCCATGCTTCTGTGATTCTGTTGACTTTGCATTCTACAATTTTGAGCATGTGGTGATGGTGATGTTAGCATCAGTTTGACAATGAGCTACTGTGGGCAGAAGGAAAGCTGCTAATATTATTTGAAAGAGGGAAAGAAAAGTCCACTGTGAAATGTCTATTTGACTTGCAGTAAAGTCTGAAAACACAAGTTTCAATTTAAATTTATTTGACCTTTCCAGTCCATTCACATATCAGCTTTCAGAGAAGCAAGAAGGATTTTAGAACTTTTTGTGTTCTCTAGCTAGAAAGGTAAATGCCAAAAAAATAACGTAAAGAAAGGAATTAAGACATTTTGGTTTTAATGTTTTAATAGTGAGGTAATAGTTCTGTTGACACTACTGATTAAGAGTTTCCAGATAGAGGAGGGGCCACTGACAGAAATGTCACTGAGGGGCGGGGAGGTACACCGATGGAAAACAACCCCTCTCTAGTCACCTCCAAGTGAGAAGGGAAAATAAAAACCCTCAGTCACACTGAACTGGACATATTGGAACTAGATTGGTCCTGCAAGCCATAGATTTGCGACCCCTGCTCCAGGAAAGAGATAAGGATTCATTAGCAAAATATCTGCATCAGCGGCAAATGATAAAAATCAAAACATCATAACAAACGATAAAATCCTGGGCAATTCAAGTTTAAGTTTTACCTACTTTCAAATAACAAAGTTAAGATACTAATTAAAAATAGCATCTTGATGGACTGGTAGAATTCAAGGCTTTGATATGTATCATATTGGCATGTCTCCTCTGTCTGGTGTGTTGTTCCTGACACAGAAACATATAGATATCCTATTGAACCGTTCTCAGCAGCTCTTTTCAAGTTGCACAGCCAAGTTTGCAGATGGACAGCAATGCTCTGTGCCAGTTTTTGACATTACACATCAGACTCCTCTGTGTGAAGAACATGCCAAAAAAATGGTAAGTACAAACCACAGCTGTAACTATTTCCATAAACTGGGATAATCAGGAGTTCTATTTAGCTAAGTTTATCAACTTGTGTGCTGTTTTACAAATATATATAATCTCCCCAACAAATATAAAGTAGTTTTACATTTTTTTTTTCTTGCGGGGGAAATGGATTTGCTAAAAACCAGAAATTGATCTGACCTTTTCATATAATCATCCAAAGCTTCAGGCTACATCATCTGAGGTTGCCCATCATATCGCAGTCACGAGGCCCTGCAGCATGATGTATTCTGGAGCATTAGAACAGATTAGTAACTTGCGGAACTTGAGACAGTATCCTCGATTTTCTGATCTCCACCTACCTCTTCCAAAAGCAACATTTTTAGGATAATTTATGTGCCTCTTCGCCTGTCATTTTTTTTTCTCTCCCAAAAAATGCTTTTGGGACACTTTTAACTCTGAGGTTCCCATTGTGTTTTATCGTGTAACACAGACCCTTACCGTTTTAATCCAGGTATTGTTCTCTCTCTCTGTCTCTCTCTAGGTAATCCTCAGTGTCCTTATCAAAGGCCTGAAGATTGTCCCCCATTTTTTTCCTTTGCTTGGCACATCAAAACCCTGTGCCACAACCTTCATAATCAAAATTGAAGACTGAATCCGACTTGCTTCAGAGCCTATACGATGGCACTCATTTTGTAATTAGCCATTGGGCTGCTGTTCAGGAGTACAAGGCCCTGCAACCGTGCCCCCTGCCAGTTCTCAGTCCTACAGCACTTACTATGTCTCCTCAGTGCTCATGGCTCCTTACAGCAATGGGAACATGACCAGAACTCTGGTTTACACCTACCTGCACAAATCCCTACCGCCAGGTCACTCCAATAGTCATTTTTTGGGTGCTTATATGGGATGTTCCAAATATTTTGTTTTGGACTTTATGTGCATTAAACTGTGGTACTACTGACGCAGTCATTAAAAAAGACAGCGTGGGCTTTCCGTATTTGCAGTATTTCAGCGATGACAACAATGTGATTTTTTTTTTTCTGACTGCCAGCTCTGCACCCCTGATCTGAGAATTAGCCTGAGTTCATTCTTTCACACTCCTTTTTTCCAGTAGTAGAAGTCCCAGACTGTGCCCTTGATTAAACCTGTGCAGCCCTATTTGCCTCCAAAGAGGTTGCAAAAGTGTAACTAAGGATGTAATGTACATGCTCATTGTTCTTCTCGGTGATAATGCAGGAGAAGGAAAGGAGGTAACGTGACTTTCAGACCCATGCTTGGATTTGCAGGTTGGCAGTTAGAAAGATCCTCTCTTCACTCACCTTGTGTCTCAGTGTTTGGGAATGGCAAGAAAAGAAAGTTTCATTTGATCCTAACGTGTCCCCTCTTCATTGTTTCTCCCAAAGGATAATTTCTTGAGAGGGGACAGCTCCCGTAAAGTTCAGCACCAGCAGCAGAGGAAACCCAGGAAAAAAACGAAGCCACCTGCACTTACCAAAAAACACAAAAAGAAGAGAAGGAGGGGGCCACGGAGGCCCCAGAAACCTATTCCTCCTGCAGTGCCCCAAGGGAACCTCAGCATGCCCACCAGCATTTCACTGCCAGTGGAGATCTCCCACATACGGTCAGTGCCCGTGGCACCTTGTACTGGGCTTGTTTTAGCTTTATAATCAAAAAGTTAAAGACAGGAAAAGATTGCAGAGACAACGCACTGCACAGAGTCTGGCTAAATGAAAGCTGAACAGAGCTTGGCTTAATTAGGTCTGCTGTGACCTTTCCTTTTTCTTTTCTCCACCACTTAATATTTTGACTTTCCAAATATGTTAGATGTTTGAACTGGAATGAACATCTTCAGGTGTCTTTTATTTCTGTCATTGTTGAAAGGAAGAATTGAAAAATGTTAATTTCAAATCTCAACACAGTTCAGTTAAAATGGTTGTTTTGCTGCCGATGCACAACTCAAAACTGTCATTAGTAGAACAAATTAAATGACACTTGTTTAAATGGCATTCTTTCCATTTACTGATTGAAAAATAAAAAGGGCTGGGTGTGTGTCTGTAAAGTATGCTGCAGTATTGAGAAATCAGGATTTTAAAGTGTGACCTGACAACACTGTCTCTTCAGGAGCCCCTCCACACCGGACCTAAGTACAGATGAGCTGCCCGATGACATCGCCAATGAAATCACAGACATTCCACATGACTTGGAATTGAATCAAGAGGACTTTTCTGATGTCCTACCACGGCTGCCTGATGACTTACAAGATTTTGATTTCTTTGAAGGTACATTTTTGTTTTAATTTATGTGAATTTTTAATTTAATACACATAGTGAAGTGGGATGCATTTGAGGGTTCCACCTGCTTTCTTGCAGGGAAGAGGACTGTTAGAGAAAGAACACATATTCAGCCCGCTGCTCATACCTCTTACCTCTAAGAAGAACATGTTTTACAGGACATGCATGTGATTATTTGCTTGTTTGTATACTTGGTACTATGGAAATCCTGAGTGATTTAAAATTTTAATAAATGAGTTTGTGCTTTTCTGTATGTCACTGACCATTGCAATTTAATCAACTAAATTCACAGTAAGGCATCATTCTGAGACTTGGATTCCAGCCCAGTTTTATCAATGTCAGTGGCCTTGTCTACACTGAGAGAGAAGGTTGAATTTATTAAGGTTAATTTTCTAGCACCTGATTTTGTAATGTCAAAGGTGCATATCTCCACTGTGCACAAGACTTCAATGTAGTTCACCAGTGAGTCTCCAATAGTGTGGCTCCTGTCGACTTTGAGAGCATTGCACTATGGGTAAGCTATCTCACATTTCCTGCTGCTCCTTTGCATTCTGGGTTATGCTTCCAGTGCATGCTGGGACCAAAACAGTGTAGAGGGTGATTCTAGGTACATGTTGTCAGCATCCCATAATGCCCTTGTCTCTCACCCTTTCACACTCACTTGAAAGAAACAGCAAACAGGATTTCTGTGCCCTTTCTTCCCTGGTTATCTGTGCATACGGATAGTAGGCTAAGCATGGAACCCATCGTGGAACCCATTCAGCAGCAAAGTATTATATCAGTCATATTAACCATGGTGTGCCTTCTGCTGGAGTATATCCAGAGCATGTCCAGGACCTGCCAGAATGAGGACAAATCTTGGGATGCCATGAACATAACTCTTCTGCGAGGCACGTGAGTTGAGCGCCTGGCAAATGCCGCCAGCATTTGATCCTCTGGACACAGTGGAACGCTGGTTCTGGTGCTGTCAGACAAGCACCAGACTGCCTAATGATGCAGCTATGGGACGATCAGCAGCAGCTGCAGAACATTTTTATGCCTAAGGCCACTTTCATAGAACTCTGTGAATTGCTTTCCCCTGCCCTGAAGTGCATGAATAGAAAAATGAGACCCGCTCTGTCAGTTGACAAGCGAATGGCAAATAGCCACGTGGAAGCTTGCAATGCCAGACACCTACTGGTTAGTTGGAAATCAGTTTGGAGTAGGGAAACCTGCAGTGGGGGCTGTTGTAATCCAAATAGCCGAGACCATCGATACCCTTCTGCTGTGAAGGTTAATGAGTCTGGGAAACATGCAGGGCGTAGTGGAGTGCTTTGCCACGATGAAGTTCCCTAACCATGGTGGGGTGATAGACGGAACACGCATTTCTATCATGGCACCTGACCACCTTGCCAAAAAGTACTTCAACCACAAAGGTTACTTCTCACTGGTGCTGGCGATACCGGTGGATCACAAGGGCCGTTTCACCACCATCAGTGTGGGATGGTTGGAAAGGTGCCTGACACGTGCACCTTTAGGAACTCCGGTCTCTTCAGAAAGCTGCAAGATGGAACTTTCTTCCCAGACCAGAAAATTATCATCGAAGGCGTTGAAATGCCAATAGTGATCCTTGGAGACCCAGCCTACCCCTAGCTTCGATGGCTCACGAAGCTGAACACAGGCAGCAGGGACCACAGGAAGGAGCAGTTCAGCTACAGGCTGAGCAAGTGCAGAATGGTGGTAGAATGCTTCTTGGGCATTTAAAGGGAAGATTTCACTTTCTGCTGACTAGGTTAGACCCCAGTGAAAGCAACATTTCCATTGTTGTGGCAGCCAAGCTGTGTACTCTTGTAGATATTCTGGAGCAAGGAGAAAGAGCTATGGCAGGGTGGGAGAGCAAGGTGCAGCACCTAGCCAGTAATTATGAGCAGCCGGGCACCAGAGCAAAAAGCAGAGCACGTTGAGGGGCACTGCAAATCAGAGGGTACGTCTACACTAGCTCATTAGTTCGAGCTAGGTAGGATAATGAGGGCAAGCAGAGTTGCAAATGAAGCCCGGGATTTAAATATCCCGGGCTTCATTTGCATGTTCCCAGGTGCCGCCATTTTTAAATCCCCCCTTAGTCCGAACTCCGTGCCTGCGGATACACACGGCACGGAGTAATGAGGAGTAACGGTAGCTCGAATTCGGATCTTTAATTCCAACTATCGACTCCATGCCGTGTGTAGCCACGGGCATGGAGTTCGGACTAAGGGGGATTTAAAAATGGCGGCACCTGGGAACATGCAAATGAAGCCCGGGATATTTAAATCCCGGGCTTCATTTGCAACTCTGCTTGCCCTCATTATCCTACCTAGCTCGAACTAATGAGCTAGTGTAGACGTACCCTCTGATTTGCAGTGCCCCTCAACGTGCTCTGCTTTTTGCTCTGGTGCCCGGCTGCTCATAATTACTGGCTAGGTGCTGCACCTTGCTCTCCCACCCTGCCATAGCTCTGTATCCCCCTCCCCCTTTCAAAACACGAGAGTATTGTTCAGAAATCATGCATTTTTAGGGAACACAGCAGGGATAGAAAAGGAGTTCGGGGGGGGGGAATTTTGTGGGGGATGATCACAAGTGTGAGGAGAGTCTTTTGCTCTGGAATGCATCCTTGCGGGTTGTGTGTGAGGCTGCCCTTGGCCACCCTGCTCCCTGTGTTCTAGGGCCCCTGGGAGAGGAGGGAATGAGAGTCTGCAAGAGCTGGAGGGAGTGCCTGTGCCTGTGGCAGTTCTAGAACAGCATCATGTGGATCATCACATGCGCCATGACCATCAAGACTCTCTCTTGGTTCTTCACTTCCAGTTCCCTGCTCGCACTCCTCCTCGCGCTCCACTTGCATCTCCTACAGTCCACTCACTTAATTACTCCCTGTCCAAGTGAATGGATTGCATTTGCTTTGTGAACATGTCGTCCCTGGTGTATGTTTGCCTTTGGATCTGTGTTAGCTGGACAGCTAGCAGAGCTGAGGGCGTGTGCAGCAAGCTCACTGCTGCACCTGCTGTAAAGAAAAGTGAAGGGCAGGCTTTACAGGACATACATTGTTGAGCATAAAACCTAATCTTTTAGCATAAATGGAAAGTCTGTCTAAAGACAATAGGGAGATGTTATGTACCAGGCTACAGTTGTGCCTTTAAGCACCCTCTATGCAGCAGATACCCCACAGAGATCTTAGGGGAGCAGCTGGACTTGGTTTGGTGGCAGACATGGTAAAGGACTGGTCGGGTCCTGAGCCTTCAGAGGGGAAGGGGGTCCAGGCATGGTGGCAGGGCAGTGTAGAGACTCATGAGGTATGTGTGTCCCCCCCATTTGCCGGGAGAGTGCAACTTTCCCTTTCCAAAAGAGCATGTGGGTGGGAGAAAGGAGGGGCTCTGGGTGCAGTGGCAGGGCAGGAGCACAAGCCATGCTTCATTAGGGATGAGAAAATGGGGATTTACTGCAGAGGAATCAGTTAATAGCTTCTCCTGCTTCATCCAGGGTCACAGGTGAGATCTCGGTCTTCTCCAAATCTTGCAGAGTGACAGGGGTGGATGCTGACTGAATGTGGCTAGAAACCTGGGCCTTGTGCTGCAATGATGCAGACCACTTACTACTGGCTTGTCTTGGGAAGGTGTCCGACCTTGGAGGAAGGAATAAGGCAGGCTCCCCAGAAACCTTGTGAGAAGGATGAAAGAGTTCCTATGAGAGCTTCGGGGAGGATTCCTGTTTCGTCTCCAGATTCGTTAACAAACTATTCCATGGTGCCCCCATTGTGTAGACAATTGGCTGCCACAGATCACACCTAATTGCCTTAATCCACGTCAAGCATGATCAAAAATGTGAACTCCCCAAAAGTCCCCTCCCCACCATCAGACCAACAGCGAGACATCCTGGGAAGAGGGGATTGGCTCTAAAGTTATAAAAAGATTCTGGCTGTTGGTGAGATTTGGTTTTCCACTCATCTGTTGACCAGTCTCTACCTCATCCATGCTGTTCTTTATGCTGTTGTGCTAGGCTGCCAGAGGAGTGTCTTGAGAAGAATCCATAGACTGGCTTGGAAAGCTGGTCAGTTCCCCCCCAGAATCACATGCCACTGCTCAGAGAAGTGGCATGTTTGTGGTGATGATCCAGACCATCCGTCTGCCCCCTTTTTCTTCTAATAGGCCTGCTTGAGCTCCTTTATTTTCATGTAGCACTGCTGAACATCCCTGGTGTATCCTTTCTTCTCCATGCCCTTTGCAATCTCGGCCTAGATATCTGCATTTCTTTTGCTGGTTCGTAGTTCTGTGAGAACGGAATCCTCTTCCTACACAGCAATCAAGCCCAGGATCTCCTGCACGTTCCATGCTGGTACTCATTTGTGACCCTTGGCATTCATGGTCAGGTGTGCTGCTGAGGTGAGCTGTCCACTGAAGTCTGCTCGCCACAGTGGCTACATAGGAAATGAAATTCAGAATTTCCTGGGGCTTTTCCTGTGCACATGGAGAACATCAGAATTGAAAGTCCTGGCCAGACTGTGGGACACATCTCAGAGGCCAAGAATATCAACTTTCACAGCACTGCATTGGCACTATCTTAGGTTGACCATGCAAGGTCAAATTTAACGTTATTCCCCGTGAAAAGCAGGAGTAATTAAATCAACTTTAATGGCCCTTAAAGTCGACGGCATGGGTTTGGTGGTGTGGACTCATTGCTTAGAAAGTCAACTTAATACCTAAACTCCCTGTGTAGACCAGGTCTGTTTTTTTATCAGAGGAAAGCAGATTTAAAAAAAACACCTGAAGAACTTGCGTATGAGCTGAAATACACATGAATTTCTGTGTGTTTTTTCAGGGCCCACTGTGGGTAGGAAAAGGCTCAGAATAGAACCACCAGTAGTTTTGGAAACCTCTTGCTGCACTTTTTGTCATTTTTCTGAGCTGTCATATCAGAGTTTGGCATTCTAATCCTTTTAATAAAATGGAGGTTATTGATGGAATCCTAGGCCAGAAGGGGCTACTGTGTTTATACCGTCTGGCCTTCTGTATGACACGGGCCATAGAACTTCCCCGAATTAATTCCTAGAACTTGTCTTTTACAGAACCATCCAAAATTTTAAATTATTATGCTAACATAATCAGCAAAATGGACGTTCTAAACTGTGCTTAGTGTTACACCTTAGAAAGATATTTAAGCTTTTATAGCAAGGGTGGCCAAACTTATTGATCCTCTATGTTGTATTTAATAATCTTCAGAAGTTTGAGAGCAGAGCACACTTGCTCTGTGCTTCTGTCCTATGGCCGAGTAGTGGGACGCAGGGCTTCAGCCCCCCCGGAGCGCGGCAGGCACCTCCCACTGGGTTGAAACCCCTGGATTCCTTTCCCTCTGGGCAGAAGCCACTAGCCCCATCACTCTGCTGCAGGACAGAAGCCCCACGCTCTCCCCAGGCTCATCTGGAAGGTGAAGAAAAGGAGGGTGTGGGGGTGGGTCTCCGCAAGCCACATTGTAAAAGAGCTGCATGTAGCTCGCTAACTGCAGTTTGGCGACCCCTGTTTTATAGACTTATGTAAATCAAGCAAATGTTTAAGGCTTATTTTTAGCATTTACACGGAGGAAAAAAAGACAGTTGGAATTTTTTTTTCCAACTAGGAGAGGAAGAGTGAATTTTCTTTTTCAATCCTATCAAGAACCATTTTGGAAATTGTATTATTTTTTGGTAGAAACCCTATTGTATTTTTTGGATAGTTGTATTCCTAAGACCATAGTGTCAGGGATATCTATGAAAAGCCAGTTAACTTCTGTTGTTCCTGTTTCTATAGGTAAAAATGGAGACCTCCTCCCTACTACAGAAGAGGCAGAGGAACTGGAACGGGCTCTACAGGCTGTAACTTCTCTTGAGTGCCTGAGTACCATTGGAGTACTTACACAGACAGACGGTGTGCCGGTTCAGGAGCTATCAGATAGAGGGATAGGGGTGTTCACCGCAGGTGCTGGAGCTCCAGGAATGCAGTCCTTGAGTAGAGAGGTTAACACGGACCTGGGGGAGCTGTTGAATGGGCGCATAGTACATGATAATTTCTCCAGTCTGGAGCTGGATGAAACCTTGCTCCGTTCTGCTACCTTGTCTAACCCACCTACGCCCCTGGCAGGGCAGATCCAGGGGCAATTCTCTGCCCCAGCCAACGTCGGCCTTACTTCTGCCACTCTGATAAGCCAGAGTGGACTTGGGGAGAGAGCCTTCCCAGGACAGTTTCATGGACTTCATGACGGCAGCCATGCCTCCCAGAGGCCACACTCTGCCCAGCTGCTGAGCAAGGCAGATGACCTAATCACCTCACGACAGCAATACAGCAGTGACCATTCGCACTCCTCACCCCATGGAAGCCATTACGATAGCGAGCATGTGCCGTCTCCCTACAGCGACCATATCACATCCCCCCATGCCACTTCTTATTCTGGTGATAACTTGGCAGCTACCTTCTCAGCAGAGATGCCCATTATGGCACAGCACTTGCTCCCATCACAACTGGAGGTGCCACTTAGTGGGGTGGTGAACCCCAGAACTCACTGGGGAAATATCCCTGTCAATCTTGGTGACCCCTCTCCATTTAGCAACCTTCTTGGTGCTGATGGACACCTTCTTTCCACCTCCCTGTCCACACCACCTACCACCTCGCACTCAGAGACCACCCAGCCTGCCTTCGCCACTGTGACCCCCAACAGCTCCAGTGTGCTTCCGGGGTTACCGCAGACCAGTTTTAGTGGCATGGGTCCTCCCTCTGCTGAACTAATGGCCTCCACTTCCCCCAAACAGCAACTCCCTCAGTTCAGCGCAGCCTTTGGCCATCAGCTGAGCTCACACAGTGGCATTCCTAAGGACCTGCAGCCCAGCCACAGCTCCATAGCTCCTCCCACAGGCTTCACAGTCACAGGTGCCACAGCTACCAGTACCAATAATGCATCTGCTCCCTTTACCACCACCTCTAACTGAGCTAGTCTGTCGGAGTATTTGCAGGCAGATGGGGACCCTGTGTTATCTCTCTTCTCCTCCCTATTTTGTCCTCCCCTTCCTTGGAAGAGGATTTTTTTTACAGAGGGGGTTAAAAGGAAACCTCCTGCTGCAGTTCAGTCCAGGGTGGCCCCTCAGTAAACCTTGCTCTAGTGTTCACATGTGCTATTGATGCACTGGTGCTCATTTATTACTGGCAGGTTCAACATAACCCAATCAATTCCTTAAGGATGCAGCACAGTTACTGGATGTAATAGACCCTTAGCAGTAAGACCTAGAAATGGGACGATACCTCAGATTACCAATGCACGTTACTGTTTCTTAGGGTTCAGGTCAGTGATTTCCATCCCATTAGCATGTCACATTGGAAGTTTTTATAGTGGGGGGGGGGAAAAGTCTCTTGATTTTAAAAAATTAGGTAACACATGGGCATGGAGAATTGGCTCCACACTCAGTTTTGTAATGGTGCACCAAAGCACTCAAGACCATGGTTCAATTATTCATTTGACAACTCCTTTAAAATTATTTTTTGACCTTCTCTGTGGGCATGTGTGTGTGTTTGGGGAAGCAGCAGTGCCTTGTCGTCTACTACTGAGGCAACAGTGGTTGTGACTCCTCCTGACGTTGGTCACTGCTCCTATTGAACGTTGATTTATTTTCTTTATTTTAGGTTCATTGAGCAGAGAGGGGATTGACTGACAAGGGCAAATGGGCTCTACCTGTTTGCTCAGGGCACTGGGGGTTCTTGCTGTTTCAAAGGTTAGCCCAGGGAGGAAATACAAGAAAATGGGAAAAGTAGAATAAATGATGGTCTAGTCAAGAATCATGCAGAAATTCCCATCAGAGCTGAATTACTGTAGTGGCACTGTAATGTTGATGGCTTGCCTTTTCAAATGTGGCTTTGTCCAGAACTCTTTGCACAGCAAGTGTTTCTTAGCTGAAACGGGAAGAATTCTATTTGTATGTATTGGTATGCAACCCATTTAAACAAACCTACATCAAGCCCCTTCAGTAAACTGAAAATAGCTGAATTTCTCACATTCTTTGTTGCCGCCGAGACTCTTTCTGTAATAGCAGTGATTTTGTACCAGGAACCATACAGGTTTTAGGACATTGGTGAAACTGGTGCCCTGTATGTGAAGTTGAATGTATATGGGAACCGGCGGGTACAAATTTGTGGTTACCACTAACCAAAACCAAACTTACAAGCAAAATAGGGAAATAAGAAAATCCTTCTGTCCACAACACCTTGTTGCTTTTATTGCCTGTTTGCTGAAAATGGTTTTATGTCTCCTTGATCATAAAGTCAGCTCCTTATAAAGGCAGTGGATTCCTCTTATATCTGACTCTTCCTTAAAGAGTAACAACAAAATTGGTTCAAGTAGTTTGCTTGAATCATCTCCCTCTTCTCCCCCGCTTCCCCAAAAGAGAATGTGCTTGTGAAAATTGTGACTTTTGTAAAGAACTAACTAGCCACTATGTGAAAGTAATTCCTACCTGATTGCTAAACAAAGTCTCCACTCTTTGGTTTCTTTCTAAGATGCATAGAAGAAAAGATAAAAAGTAAAGCAAATTTCTTTAAGCAAGGGATTATTGAACTGAGTTCAGTTATTCCTTAGTATGTGGAGAGTAATGTATCTTCCCCCGATATATGTATTCTGTTTATGCTAATGATGAAAGTCAAACCCTCTGCGCCCAGACTTCCTGAGGGGTAGGGATTAAGAACTGCATCCACACTTCCTGGATGCAGCTCATCTCGGGTTTATATCCCTCTAGGTAGAGCCAATCCCATTTTAAAAGCTTTGTCCTGTTTTCAAGTATAACAGAATAAGCCCTGTGGGTTTCAGCCCTTTGATGAAATTGCATATGTGGATGGATGAGGAAACATTCATTTCTAAGTGTGGTCTAAGTGTGTTTGTCCTTATTTATGTGTTTTCAAATTATGTCCTAAATGAAATGAGGCTTACGAAACCCTATTGTGCTGCCCAGCTGATTGAGGAATGCCCACTTGACGTTGTAAAATGAGGAAGAGCTGATAGGGCATTTGTTTTCATTTTGTTTTTTATTCTGTCCTCTGCTTTCCCTTCTCCAATGCTTGTGAGGAGACAAATGTTTGATTGCATTGTTTTTCCTTGTGTTAATATTCTTTAGTGTATCAAGATGAGTGACTGAAAAAGAAGGGTGAACTAGTTTGCCGAATGGGAAAATGATCAATTGTTAAATCTGCCAGTATTAAATGTCATGTGGCAAGATGTTCTGCAGATTAGTTTGAAGATTTTGAATATGAAATATTTCTCATGCTCATCAAAACTTCTCCTTACCTATCAGTAGAGAAAACTCTTGGGCCCAATTTCTGTTCTCCGTTACATCCGTGTAAATCATGGAGTACTTCTTTTAGCCAGGTGAGTTACTGTGTATTTACCCAAGTGTAACTCAGAACAGAATCTAGCTCTTAACTGGTAATTTCTTTAGGCTGGGATTTTCCAAAATGCCCAAGGGAATGTAAGTACACAGCTCTCATTTGAAATCATCTTCCCATAAGGCAGCTTTGGAAGTCTCCGCCTTTAGATCTCCGCTTTATGGAACTGTTGGGGATTTTTCCTAGACATTGGCTGAATAACATTTTTCATGAGCAGATTGAGTTTGCAGTAAATCTACACCCATAAAATGTTTTCCATTTGAAGTGCTTTAGAAAAGGAATCCCGATCTACTTTCCAGTACAGCGGTTTGAAATGGTCAAGACTGTTGCCAGTTGCAGCTTCTCTACATCTAATTGAAGTATAGCCAACTTAATGAAGTTACATTCTAGTATACAGTTCTGATTGTAGGTCCTAATTATGCTATGAGCACCATGCAGGTGGATCCCTATAGCCATACAAAGCCCACTAACTTCACCAGGAGTCTGCCTACATAGAGTTCAGTGCAGGATCAGCACCATATTGTTATGGGAAGAGTAGCGGACACAAGGACAAGTGATTATGCAGCCAGACAGTTCTCCCCTACCAGGAAATATGGGTGTTCCATGTGGGATTTGTCTTGGTTCTTAGGGCCATTGAGATGGTTCTCATTCATGCTCTCTTGAAAGGGGTTTTTCCCTCCCTGTAATTCAGCAATTAGCACTAATAATCCTTTTACCAAGAGTCAATGTAGCAATTCCAATCCATTTGTTGAAGTGATCGGTATCTATTCTGCCACTTATAAATGAAGTAAATAGACAAATCTTAAAATAAAAATATGATGTTTTAAAGAATTAGAAGGCATTTGACAGAGATGTTTAGAAGCAATAATGTCCTTTTTGGTAATAATGTAATGTCAGGTGGTCTTAGCACACTGACATAAAAATTGGCAGAGATTTCACTCTTGACAAAGATTAACTTTGGTTGGGCAGTTTATGGAGAACAGTGAGGGACAGCATGATGCTGGCTTGGTTTATAAAGCAGTTACATTTAAAATAAGATTACATTCTGTCAGCATTTCCCTTTACCATTTAGTTTATTAGCTTATGCCAGTGCTAAATTTGCCTAACTCAGCTCCCATTGGCAATTTAATTGGAAAGAGGGAATGAAATTGAAGTTGGGATTTGATCCATTGGCTCTACTAATTGCTATATTATGAAAAGTACCTGTGAAAAGCTATATCATCTCCAATTCTCATTTTTTCCCTTTTGTCAAGACACATGTTTGTTTTCTTGCCTCTGTTAATTGTCTTATGGCTGCACATCTTAAAGAATATCTGTTCAAAAATAACGTACTACAGTTCTCTTCACCTACTGAGTCCCAGACTATGCAATAGAAAGACTTTCCAGGTTCATTTCATAGGCTAATGACACAAAGGACTGTTTTCTTAAGCAATTTAAGGTTCTCATTTGGCAAGCATTTCTAGGGTGCCTCCTTGGCTGAGAAGCTTGTAATCTGTGAGCAAACATGGGAGATGGAGATGAAAATTAGATTGCAAGTGCAAGAAATATATTTGCTCTCAGGAATGTGTGTTTGCTCTTCAAAGGGAGGGCAGGGGAAGTTAACTGTTTAAAAAATAGTATCTTCATTGAAAACTATATTACTGTCTTCATGAATTGCTTTCTCTAGAGATCATGATCCTCATAATTAGACATTGAGAGCTCAAATTCTCAACTGGTGTCAATAAGCCCGGCTATCTCAGCTTCAAAGGAGCTGTGTGCTAATTTACCAGAGTTAAGGCTCCGGCTGTGAGAATCTAACCAAGAACATGGAACAGAGTTTAATTTGCTAATGCTTTCTGTGACCGCTGGCATTCCCCATTAGAAAACTAAGTTCTCAAAAAGAGGAAGAAGATTTAGTCCTTTGAGGGTATGCCTTCACTGTAACATTAGCCGAGGTGTTTGGCATCCTAGTTGGGGCACCTATGTTAGTGTAGACTGAGTGTGAGCAGCCAGGCAGTGCTCCTCTGTGTTTGTCACTGGGATGTCTGCGGGCATTGCCAATGGTGCTGCAGTAAGCTGAGCTGCCCTGATTCTTCCCTAGGGAATTGTGGGAGAACTCATCTGTCCTCCTGGGCACACAGCAGGTGTGGTGCAGGGAATGCGGGAAAGCAATTGTCAGGCTCTGGCCCACATCCCCAGCTGTGCACATGAATGTTTGTGTGTGGACAGGAGGGGAGTTGGAGCAATACCTGAATAAGAACACTGGCTAACTCTGCAGTGAAGACATACACCAGGAGGGGTGCAGTGTGTCTTAAGCCTAATTTTCCTCTTCAACAGTTGCTTTTATCAAAGGGCTTAGTTCCCTTCTTGTCAGTGAAGGAGCCTTTAACACAGACCTGAGGCAAACTGAAAGAACCCAGATCAGATGTAGGCCTAGATTGCTAAGCCTCATGTTGGTAGAAATGACTACAAGAATAGATTCAAGCTGCAGTGCTCCTCATAAGACTCTTTAGCTTGGGTGGGAGCGAATGGGTGTTCTAGGCTGCGCCTCTTGTCTCCTTAAATTTCATCCCTTCTTTCCCACTCTCTTCACCATCTTCTTTCACTCTCCACTGCCATCACCGTGACACAAAAATTGCCATTTAAAAGCCTGTGCGGTTGATAATGAGCAAACACTATGATTGTTTTAAACAAAGGATTAGGTGAGGTTCCTGTGAGTCATAATATAAATTAGGAAGCCAGAGCAGCAGTGCAATAGAATATTGAGTAAGAATTCACAGACTATTGAGTAACATGACGATGCTATGTGATATCAGAAAGTTTTTAGCTAGCTGCTGAGAATACAACCGTGGTCACCACTCACAGAGAGCTATGTATGCTCAGGAACTTCACATGAAGTTTTTTTTCCTGTAAGTTCCTTTTATTGTAAAGGAAGTTGCCAGTAGAATATTCCATACATTTTTCCATGCAATTAGCCTTACTTAAAAAACAAAGTTTTTCCTAAGCAAGTCTATAAAATCTGTAACTCTATTGGCAGTATCATGATTTAGTTCTTTCTCTTCTCCCCCACCCCACACACACACTAGGTGTTGCAGTTTTACATGCTGCAATTTTCCAATTATACTGAAACAAGGATATGTAGTGGAAGCATGAAAGAAGAAAACACACTTTGAATTGCAGTTTAGAGGTGGCATTTGGATTTTTTCCTAGATAGCCTGAAGTGTTGAGTCAACGCTTCCCCCCGCCCCCCGTTCCCTAGCTCACAGAACTCAGTTTGAAAACTAATAGAATAAAACTAGGCTTTTTTATTTTGAAACAGTATATACTCAATGTAGACAAGTGCATTCTTCCTTTCCCCCTCCTGTCCTCAACACACACACATTTTATGTGTATGAATTGGAAACATATGTTGAACTTGGTCTAGTAAAACTGGTGTGTTTCCTGCCCTTTATTTTAATTTTTTTTTTTTTTTTTTTTTTTTTTTTTTGTGATCTGGTGCCCACCAGTAAGCTTTGGATAGATAATGTTCCCAAATCTCTCCTGGAAAACTTTAACTGTGGTGCAAATGACACAATGCAGCTGACTGCTACACAATTGCTTGCTTATACTTTGGAGTAGACTGATCTACCCTGAAATGACTCTTTAACCTGCATCTTAAAAATACAATTGATTCCAGTGGAAAAAGATCCATTCTGAAGAGATGGACAGTTTGGTTCTCATACAAAGTATCTACATCTATTTAGAAGGGGTTGAACCAGTTTCTCTGAACAGTGATTTCACTGTACAGTTTTGGGTATGTCTCAGGGATTCCTTTTGGAAATAAGGGCAGTTAACATAAAAAGTAAATAGTTTTAAAAGTAAATAATAATTTAAGGTAGAGCTTCATCTAAATGAGAGCGCAAGAAAGAGAAATCTTGTTCAGTTTTGTAATCCTTGGTGTCTGGCTTAGGGAGTTTCTCTTCTTGGGGTTCTCATCTCAAAGTCAACATACAGAATCTTTTTCCATCATGCTCAGCTTTAAACTTTTATTTAAAGATACCCTTCCCCAATGAGCTTTCAGAATACTTATTGTAGATTTTAAGAGAAAGGTATATTAATTTATGCTATTAACATCACCTCATAAATTATAAGTTTTATACTAAAGCTGTATTGAGTGTAATGAATTATGTTGCATATGTGTTTTCAATGGCTATAAAATTATATACAAGCTTTTTTTGAAAAACAAAAACTAGTAAAGCACCTTTTTACACTGGATCTTTGCCGTGTCAAGGTGTACAGCTATTCTTTGCTACCTTGCAGATATATAAAAATAAAATGGTATCAGCAAAACATAGAACTCTTGTTAACCCGAATATTACTGCTCCTATAACTTTTTTTTGGTTACATTCTGCAATAATTTATCAGTGATTTGTACCTGTAATGGTTTGAAGTTCAGTTACAGGGTAAATGGATCAAATGAAAAATTCAACTACTGTAGCTGGAAGTTGTGAACCAAGTTTGTAAGAACTTGTTTTTTAAACGTATTTATTTCCAGTCATGCAAGTTGGAATTTGAAAAGACGAAACATTAAATCTCAGAATCCACAGTGTCTTATTCAGGAACTTTCCCCCCTCCTTTCCTTAAAAAGGAATTCCCACTGTGACTTATAAATAGAATTAGACTGCTTGTGTGCATGTATGTATTATATACGCACACAAAAATATGCATTTGGGGGGGTTGTATGTGTGATATGAATGTGCATACTGTATGTAGGTCATAGTTTTTGTAAAGAGAAAAGTAGTTGAGAGGTGATGGAATGTATTTGTAGAAATGTGATTATTTAGTAGGGGGTTACTATGTCCTCGCTATTGTAAAAGTAACTAAACTCTCTCTGCTACATAGTCTTCTGTTCTAAGGCTATCTCTGATATCATGTCAATTTTATTCTTTAATTGATTTTCATTGAGCCCTGTTAAAATGTCATGAAACTCTCAGGCTCCTAAGACAGCCTTTAAAAAAAAGGGGGTGGGGGGGAGGACAAGTATTTTTAAAGAAAATTTTAAATGGGAAAATTTATAATTAGGGTGGTGAGACACAGGAATTAATATCCATTTTCAAGATAATACCAGAATCTCCCATATTCTGACCCAGAATAGGTTGCCAATCAGTCATTCTTGTGTTTTCAGGTTAAAAAATATTGAGAAGGGTGATTTTTATTTTTTGTAAGTGGTCTTCATTTACTGTAAAGGGTTTCATTTTTAAAGTTATCTAATGTGTTTTCCTAAAGGGGCCTATGTATGTTAACTGCAACCTAAAAATTGCTGCTGGGGACTTACATTTTGTTTTCTATAAATTTGTACTTCTTATCTGAGAGCTTCATCTGCGCTGTGAATTCGAAACAATTATGGACATATAGGGGTGTTTTTTTTCATACTTTGAGAGGGAAATGCTGTCTGTATGAGGATGCTTACCTG